GACAACGTCTAAATCAGCTGATAGAAAGTCCACAGTCAATGATGAATTACGTAATGATGATGTTGATTTGCAAAGTGATAGTGGTAATTTGCATACTCAAGATGCTGATGTGCAGGTATGCTACATTAATGAGAACGCCACCAGAGGTGTTAATGATGTGATAATTGCATAACAGATACCGATGGTTACACCACTTATCACGGTCGGCGTCATCGTCGTAGAAAACGTAGCTATGCGGAAGCTGTGTCTGTTGAAAATAAAGCTGCAAACCCAGTCTATAATGCCTCAAGTCCAAGAAGGAATGGAATTCTTGTAGCTCTGGGTCATTGTGTAAAACACAATATTAATACTCGCACCCATGTCACTGCTAAATCGCCTACTTTGTTCATCGGGAAAAAGAAATCATGTGATAACATGCCCGTGGTTCAGAAACGCCTGAGTGCATTTGTTAGTAGACTTGGACCCGAAACTACCATCGAGATGTTTAGCAAGTATATAAAGACAAACGTGGGCATTACAGATATTGTGTGTGAAAAATTAAAAACCAAATATGACACATATGCTTCATTTTGTGTAACGACATCTTTATCAGACTGCCGATGCCTGGCCTGAGGGCGTCTTGGTCCGTAAATTTTTTCAGCGACGCAATTGACACTTTTCACATTATAATGACGGAAATTAAAATTGTCTCGTTTAATCTCTTACACGCGCAATTGAGATGAAAACGTATGATGATCCAAGGCTTCTTGGTTCGGAATTAACAACTAACGACGATAGTAAACTTTTCTTCCTGTGTGTTTACCTCCCTACAAACTATGGTGACAATATAGACAAATTTGTAGACTACCTGGGTAAGATTAGTGCGATAGTGCAAGATTGTCATACGCCCAATGTTATGATTATTGGTGACTGGAACGCCGATCCTACTACAAACTCCAACTTTGGTGAAGAAATGAATGAATTCTGTAACAATGCTGGTTTAATTATTTCCGACGTTGAATTCATTGGTACATCAGTTTTTACTTTTCTCAGTGACTCTTATGGTACAACGTACTGGTTAGATCACTGTGTTTCCTCAGTGAATGCACATCGTTCTATTGTCGACGTTAATATTTGTTATGATTATGTCACTTCTGATCACATGCCTGTTTCTATCACGTGTCATACTGAGTCTTTGCCGAGTGTAGCGTCATCTGCCACTGGATCTGAAACCCGTAAGGCAAAAATTAACTGGCCCAAAGCAAGCACTTATAATCTTAACCAGTATCGGCAACAGACGGAAATATGCCTTAAAAACATCGATATTCCGATGGATGCAATTATGTGCGTATCTGATGACTGCTGTCGCAGTGACCACCATGACATGATTACTCGATATTATGGACAAATTATCGAGTCCTTGGGAAGTGCCGGTGACGAAACATGTATTAGAAAATCAACCAGACGTTTTGTGGCTGTATCTGGTTAGAATGAAGTAGTTAAAGAGGCACATGACACAGCTCGCAATTATTTTGTGTACCAGATGATGCATAAATCGAAGTCACAATTCAAACTTGCGTTACGCTACTGCAGGAATAATAAGATCCAATTCGAGTCTGATAATCTGGCCAAGTCGTTGATGAACAAAGATCGGCGGATATTTTGGAAAAAGGCGACAATGGTATATAACGCGCCACTTCCATGTACTATTGAAGGTTGCTCCGGCGAATCTAATATTGCGAACATGTGGGCAAACCATTTTAATACGATTTTAAATTCTGTTAATAATGATATTCATAAAGTTAAAGTGCAGCAATATATTTCAGTTAATACGTTAAATGTTCCAATTGTGTCCGTAAAAGAAGTCGCTACGGTTGTGCAGAGTCTCGAGCTAGAGAAATCATGTGGAGCAGACGGTCTATGTGCTGAGCACCTTAAATTCGCTAGCCCAGTGATCTCATTGCATCTGTCAATGTGTCTATCTGCAATGCTTGTACACGGAACTATTCCAAGACGGTTGATTGAAGTTGAACTGCTTCCAATAGCTAAGAACAAATTTGGAAATATGACCAGCAAAGATAATTATCGACCCATTGCCATAACTACAGTTTTATCCAAAGTCTTTGAACACATTCTTCTAAACAGATGTCAGAATTATCTTGATGCTTCAGACATCAATTGG